TGAAAAACTCCTTAGCCCGTCCTTGTCTCAACAACATACAAGCCCATTGCACAATGTTGAAACCGTTACCGTACGAAACAAACGAAGGATCAAGCGCTTTCTTGTCCGAAAGCAGCTCGAGAAGCACCACTCCGTAGCTGTAAACATCTGCTTTATCCGAAACCCGGCATGTCATCGCGTATTCGGGTGCTACGTATCCGAATGTACCCGCTACGCCTGTTGTTGCGTGCGTCTCTGATGTCCCGAGTAATCTTGCCAAACCGAAATCCGATAAATATGCGTTGTGATCATCGTCTAAGAGGATGTTGCTTGGTTTGACATCACGGTGAAGAACCCGAGGGACACATTGGTCGTGAAGGTAAGCGAGAGCTCGAGCTATGTCCAGCGCGATCTTGTGAAGAACTCTCCAATCTACTGCTCTTGTGGATCGTTCTTGGATGAATTTCTCGAGGTTACCTCCTGGGAGATAGTTGTAAATCAAGAACATCTCGGTTTCGCTCGCATGGTAACCGATGAGAGTGACAAGGTTTGGGTGTCGAAGCCTACCGAGAGTTTTGATCTCTGCGTGGAACTGTTGGACGCCTTGAAACCGTCCGATCGAGAGCCGTTTGATAGCGACGACAACATCTTGAGAGATTTCTGCTTTGTAGGTCGCTCCAAATCCACCATTTCCAATCAGATTGCTCGCATTGAAGTTTCCAGTGGCTCTAACAACGTTGTCAAAGGTTATCGGAACTCCAATGTCCATGAACATAGTGACTTCTCGTTTCGTCGTGGCCATGATTTTCGATTTCGGATGCCATTTCCTCGTGTAGAAGAAGAGAATCACAAGAGCGATCAGAACCGAGACAATCGCTGAAGCAGATGCAATCGAAGCAATCTCTAGCGAGTTGAATCTGTTATTATCTGGAGGCGGGGATGGAGCATTTTCAAAAGGCGAAGATGCGTAATCTTGCGTGATAGAAGAATCCCCTGTGGAGCCTCGGGAATCCGAAGACGGTGTTGTCAGAGAAAACACATGGCAAGGTCGAAGATACGGGTTTCCTACAGCACTGCTGCATTTCGTCAATCCATTGGTTGAAGGAACCGGACCCGACAGATTGTTGAAGGAGACATTGAAAACTGCGAAAGTTGCAAAACCTGATGGGATTTGGCCAGAGAGGTGGTTATTATTGAGAAGCAGCACAGTGAGATTCTTCAAATTGATGAAATCATGAGGGATGCCGCCGGATAGATAATTTGAAGAGAGATCAAGAACTTCCAGGGACTGTAACTGACCAAAACTCTGAGGAATTTGCCCCGTCAGGTTATTATTCGCAATAGAAAGAAAAGTCATAGCTTTCATCTTCTTCCCGAGGCTTCCCGGTATCTGACCTTGCAACTGATTCCAGCTTAGATTAAGAGCAAGAAGCGATGCTAGATCCCCGAGACTCGATGGGATTGTCCCGAAGATCTGATTCAAAGAAGCATCAAGAACCTTGAGAGAAGTGCACATGTTGTTAAGTCCTTCAGGAATCCGACCTGAGAGCTTATTGAAGCTTACGTTGACATAAACAGCTTTGAGTTCGTTGCAGTTATCAAACAGCTTTCCAGGGAATTGCCCATACAACTGATTCCCTCCAGCAGAGAATATGTAAGAGACTCGCTTTCCTAACCGGTCTTGTGCAAGCGGTATCGACTTTAGTGTTCCAGTGAAATTGTTGTCTGCAAAGTTATGAAACACGCCAGGACCTCCATCGCCTCCGAGTGATGTCAAGGAAGTTCCAACTTGAGCATTCTCAGCGAAGAAGGACAGATAAACAGACGAAGGGTCGTTGTAAGATTGGCTAGAAAACCCTTCCAGGTAAACAACAGGAGGACAATGTGTGGTATTGAGAAAATCAGGGATTAAACCCGATAAGCTGTTTCCACCTGCATCAAAGACACTCATGCAGGGCACAGAAAGCTCTTTGAGAAGCTCTCCGGTAAGCATATTCAAGCTCAAATCAAGAAGACGAAGGTTCTTGCATTTACTAAGACCCACAGGAATTTCGCCTTTGAAGAAGTTCTGACCCAAATTAACCATCTCCAAGCTTTGACATGAACCCCAATCTCCTGGAAACCTCCCTTCTAATGTAGCTCTCGGCACCCAAAGAATCTTTAGTTTCGGAAGCCTCGTGATTTCCTCCGGAATTCCTCCTTGATAGAAATTGAAATCCTCGGTCATCGAGGTTAAATCAGCACCTGGAGGTATATCTGATTCCCCTCTAATGCTGTTAATGTCTTCATACACATTGTACAGATTCGATAGCACGAGAACAGACAACGAAGAGCAATTCCCGAGCTCAACAGGTAATGGACCACTAAGAGTGTTCCTAGAGACATCCAAAACCTCGAGCTTCCTAAGATTCCCGAATTCTATGGGGATAGTCTCCTCCAACGTATTCATATACAACAACAATGACCTTAAACCACCACAATTCCCCAAACTCTCTGGAATCCTCCCGGTGAAGAAATTACCAGACAAATCTAAATGCTCAAGCTTTCCACAGCTATCCCCAATATCTTTAGGCAAAGAGCCTTGAAGCCAGTTTAATGGCAAGTGCACCACTCTGAATCTCCCTACAAAACCAGGAACAGTTCCATTCAACTTATTACCACCTAAGTTCAAAATCTCCAACTTGGACAGATTCTGCAGAGAACTAGGGATTCCACCTTCAATTCTGTTAAACCCTAGATTCATAACCCGCAAATTCCGTAACCCAGTAAACTCAACAGGCAATGACCCAGTCATCAAATTCCCTTCAAGATCAAGAACTTCAAGCTTCTCCATTCCCCAGATTCCAACAGGAATCTCTCCACTAAACGAATTGAAGGGCAGAGACAAAACCCTAAGTTCTGTAAGACCCACGATTACAGAAGGCAAATTCCCAACCAAAGCTCCATGATTTCCGGCACAATCCCTCCGAATACCAAACCCATAAAGCGGAAACTTGCCAATATCACCACAAGTGAAACGGTTTCGACTAGTTTTCGAATTCCCTTGATCGCTTCCAGAGCCACTCATGTTAAGAGCCATGACTCGAGAGGTCGAATCGCAGGATACACCAAACCAGGAGCAGTAGTCTTCACTCTCCTTGACCCAGCTAGCGAGCAACGAACCAGGGTCTGATACAGTTTCCTTAAACCGAAGCAGCACCGATTTGTCCGAATCCGCTAAAACTGTAAATTTTCCGGCGAGAAAGGTCGCTATACAGAGCAAACAGAGAGAGAAGACGACGTTTGGAGGCATCTGTCTGCGGAAAAAACGCCATTTGATCACTGAAGAAGGTAAAGAAGTCATCTTCGTAACTTATCCCCAAATGTTTTACACAAAAACCCTAAACCCACCTCTCAAAGTCTGCTAATTTGCAATTGGCGAGCAAAAGATCCTTCCTTTTACCGTGCGAAACAATCCCAGAACCGAGCCCTTAACCCTAATTTAGAGTGATGATGAGAAGCTTTTAGTGAGAGAAACAGATGAAGCAGAGAAATGAAATCATCAAAACCAAAAAAAAAAGAAGGAGAGAGAAAGAGAGGAGCGATGAGAATTCAACACTGTCACTGAGGAAGACGCGTTTTTTTCTTCTCTCTCTCTATTTTTTTTTTTTGTATAAAATGATTTTTTTTGTATAAAATATCTTTTTTTTAAAAAAAAAATTTAAATTTATGAAGAAAATAGAAATATTTCTGTGAGCGGGTGTAGGGTCCACTTTACTTATTTCTTATTGACTGAAAAACATTATTCGTATTTTTTCCTTCGAAGAAGCTTTTTATTATTATTTATGAGTTTATAAGTTACATAATAAACTTTTTTTTTTGGGTCAATGTTACAAAATAAACTATGTCGTAAAATTAACATTATAAGTTACATAACCTTGTAGTCTCACCGCATCAAATCTTACCACTAAATTTGAGGAAACAATGTTAGTATTATATTTGTTTATTCAAAATGACAATTAAAATATGTTGAGTCATCATAATAAATGTAACAATATTTCAACTCCTATTGTATATATAAAAAAAAAAACTCTCCTAGTGTATCTCTAAAACGAATCAATCTCTCATCGACCAATGTTATGCTAAGATCTTGAAGCTAACATTTATTACAGACATGGACATGCATATCGTCTTCTAGTCTATTCGGCAGGTCCAAGTTGTTTTGGTCTTATAAGCTCAGGTTCTTGAGTTTTGGGAATTTTCTTCCACCATAACAAAATGTTTCTGAAATTGGGCCCCCTCTGATAAAGAAAGAAAAAAAATATAGAACTACACCTTTACTGCAAGAATATAAATGTACTAGTATTTTCAAACAAATCAACAACATCATTTTCTCCAAACTTTTTTTTTTTGTTTGTGCTAAAAGGCTTACTAGAATTTTTTCTCCAAACTTATACCGTTAGTTGTAAGAAAACTTCATAATCTATCACCTTTGATACATAAATGCATGTGACAAAGATGTGATTCTTTATAACAAAAAATATTGAGAAATTATAAAGTGAAAAAGGGACAGAATCCCCTCTTTTCAAGGAAATAACTAAAGGAAGCTTCAAGATAAAGCAAAACAAAATGTTTTTTTCTTAAATATCAATTTATAATTTTGTCATGTACCCAACACATTAGCCACAATTATGGAGATAAAAAGAGTGAGTTTATAACCTTTTAAATTGAATAATTAGAAGAAGAAAAAAAAAGCTTTTTATAGTGAAATTATACCTGTCTTTTAGCTACTACTTATATAATACGTATAGAAAATAAAGTAATAACGAAATGTGGTCCTTGTATATACGCATCACCATGACATAAGAGTTATATCATCCATCAAACCGGTTTACAACACCCTGTAACCGAACTTAATCGGACCAAAATGTGGTTTCCGATACTAAAAACCGAAACACGGTTTGGATCATAACTGTTTACAATTACACAT